GATAGCAGTCTCTGGATTGTCTCTGCTGGGCTACTGCCATCAAGTTGCCATTGCCCCCTCAACATGGACACTCCCAGAGCCTGTGATACCATTCTCAGAGGTCACCTCACTCTCTTATTAATCTGAGCTTTCAGTCCTGCAACAGATGTGCTTATAAAGAAGCTAATCTCAGGACCCTCTTTTCATCCTCTTTATGGGAATAGCTCTGAGCAGAGAGGGTGAGGACAGAGAAACTCACATTGCTTTAAGCAAATATGAAGTCAGATGTACTGGGAAAGGAAAAAAAATAAGCTAAATTATTCCTGCAGCATCTCTGCTCCCTATGCGTGGCACAGCCTCTTAATGCTTCCCATATCTACCACCTCCCTCCCCAAACTAAATGAGAAACAAATCCATTATTTGAAGGACATTTGTCTAAAACTCCCCTTTTGTGCCTTGGCTATCTGGGACCTGCAGCTGTCACTTCCTATTCTTCTTGTAATTGCTCCTACTACAGCTAATAATGCATTTATCAAGCAGAATTTACTTATTTATTTATTTGTCTCCCTTTATTATTTTTATTATTTAGGTATAAAATAGGTCTTTTTCTCCACACTGCTCCATTAGAAATCCATAGGCTTCCAAAGAAGCAGTGGCTGCTCTGTGCTCCTGCCTCAGCTGCAAGGAATTAGTTTATTAATGTATTGCACCCCTGCAGCCTCTCTGATGTGGGGTTTTCACCTGATCATGCCACCCCTTCCCATGATAGCTTCTAAAGTGAAGCTCTCACAAAGGGACAAAAAGCAATCCAAAAAGCAATTTACTTGGCTGACAATTTCCTCTCTCCCCAGAGGTGTGGTCGAAGATATTTGTGCATTTGAAGGAGGGAGGAGTCAGCCCTTCCCAAGCGATTACTGCAGCGGGAGCCGGGATCAAGGGGCTGCAAGGCTCCAGCCCAGGGCTCTGGTGATGTCTGCATCCATAGGTTCATGGTACAGCCTCCCAGGGCAAGCAGGACTTGGACACCTTGGAGGGGGCGGTGCATGAGATGTGGCTCTGCAGGCTCAATTTGGATAACTCAGTTCCTCCCACCTTCTTGCTTCCCACCTTTCTACCACACCTTTCTGGTGGTGAGCTTTGGAAATGCTTCTTTTTGGTGGGAACACCAAGCTTATGTCCACCTTTTGTAACAACCGCAGAGGGTGTGAGGAATGACTTTATCAAACACACATGCATCCTGCTTTGTCTAATTGCCTTCTTCCTTAGGCAAATCATGGCTATCTTTCGCTGTTTGTTCAAGGGCTGATATGAAAGAAGCTGAATCTCTAAACCTTCAGGTTTCCTACTGCTCTATTAATCTCCCCCATTCAGGAATTACCCACAGAGCCTGTCCCCCAAAAGCAAAACCTTCAGCTATCTCCTGCTTCTGTCCATGGGATATCTACTTTGAAAGTTGTTATACATCTAATGAGAGATGGGCCAGAGGTGAAAGGCAAAAGGTTGTGTTCATGCAACTTGCTCTTGCAAATTAGGCAACAGAATTGCAAAATAGAAGACAAGAAACAAATAATTCAGTTGCAAACTAAAACATCTGGAACACCAACTACCCTTTTGTTCTAAGGAATAATGAAGCAGCTGTTCAAGATCTCATGGAGATATGAAGGAGAGAGTTGTTCTGACATATGTATGGACATTGTTGGATCTCCAGTTCTCTGGGGCTGAGAGGGAATTCATTTCTTTTCTCCCTTGGAACAGCAATGGGTAAGCTTGAAAAACACAGAGGTTTTTCAGATATTTCTCTGCTTTTGCCTGCTACTCCTGAATTAACAGAACGAAGTGATTTTCCTGGTCTTTTCAGGGTGTATATGTAGAAGGGCAAAGAAGAGCAGAATTCAGCCCATCAGGTTTACAGGCACGAGGTCTTGGCCAGTTGCTCACTGGGATGCTTCTGGCCTCCCAGTCTGGCTGCTTAATCTAGGAACCAGTTGGAAAAAACAAGTGATCCAGACCTTGAACGCTTCATTAACCAAAATTTATGTTCAGTTCCCTGCATGAGAACTGGGTGGACCCATGAAAAACAGATGCATATTTGGAGTGCTAGTGGATCCAAGACTTGTGAAAAATTTCCTCTGAGATGAAGGAGAACAAATTCTCCCAGGTGGTGAAAGACTTCTTTTCTGGAGTAGCTCATGTGCGGTTGTACCAGCAGCGCTCTGCATTCCAGGTTCCCCCTGCTTGGTGACCTGGGAGTTATGGAATCATTTTCAGTGGGAAAGAGTTAGAAAGACTAATTCATTCTGCTGTATGTGACAGTCATTGCCTTGCTCACCAAGCTGAGGATTTCACCCTGATTCTTGCTCCTGACAAACCATGGGGACATTTATTCCCTTGCTGGCTCAAGTGTTTGTACCTGGCGCTGCAGACATAGTCTCTGGGACCAAACTCCCTTTGCTCCTTCCCCTCCACTGCCAATGTGCCAACAAGCCCTCTAAAAAAAACAGAGTTCTGAGAGACATTCAAACGTGTTATCTTCCACCCTGTAGCAACACTATTTTGTATGCATTTTAGATGCCACGAGTGAAAAATTGCCTCTCCTCTCTACCAGAGCACAATGGCCACCGTGGAGGAAGGAGGAGTTCCCCTCCCCATCCTTCATCCCTTTGTTGCTTCAGGACTTCGCCTTCCAGCCATGCGTGTGCCCCGCGAGCATCATTCACGAGCATCATCCACGTTGCTCAGCAGAGATGCCACTTGCTTGTACTACACTTGTGTAATGCAGCATTTCACCCGTCCTCGGGGAAAGCAAAAAAGCAGAGCTTCAAGCTGAAGTTGTGTGTGTCCTGTATTGCTAAGCGGCTGTGCATCGGTACAAGCTGTAATGGCTGGAAAGCATGTCCTCACTGATAGCACATCGACTACTTGGATTGCTAAGGGGAGAGGAGATGGTCTCCCTGTGCACTGTCTTGTTCAATTTTATCTTTCCCCAAGCATAGGGAAAGCGTTGGGGAAATGTCGCTGTGTTTGTTGGTTTTGGTTTTAGTAAGTTTAATTTGCTTGTTCCCCCTGCAGCCACCGTGGTCCTTATAAAGCTAATTCTTGGATAATTTTTAAAGGAAATTAGAAAAAAAAAGTATCTTCTATGCTTGTAAAATCCCACTGGAAAAAGAAACTTAAATGAGAAGCTTACTTTCCTTTGATACTAAAGCAGGATGGACTCGCTCATAAGGATTTTACTGAATTGCAGACATGGTTTAGCCAAATAATTTTGCAGCTTTGTCTGTTTTGGTGAATGGATTCCGTTTTAAAATAGTGGAAAAGTTTTCCTCAAAGTAGAAAAAAAAGTAACCCAAGTGGTTTTTTTATATGGATGCTTCATAAAACTACAATAAGTTTCCCAAAACCTAAAATTAAATGCTTTATTTCTGGATGAGTAAAATGTTGCATTTGACCCAAAAGGAGTTGTGACTAAAATTCCAGCAAATTTGGACATAACGCTGAAGAGCCTGCAGCACTGTCTGCAATCAGTCCTCTCTCCTTTTCATCTTTATTCAGTTATTTTATTTTCAGGAACACCAGTTTCACCCAGAAGTGTAACAAAGCAAAGAAGCACTTAATCATAGGTCTTTTGTCACGGGCCATTTAGATCCTAAAAGACAGATTACGAGGAGAGTAATCTTTAAAGCTAATACAGAGCAGAGATCTCTATAGTTGCTTAGGATCCATTCATGCAGTTTGTGATGTGCTAAGGAACCACCTTACCCCATCAGAGTAAGTTTTTTCCCCTCCAGCTCCCTTTCCTGCCTCATTTTCAACAGCTGTAAAGCAGATAATCTTTCACTTGCCTTTGCATCCAGCCTAACTCGACCTGTGTCTCTTTCACACACTGGGTAAAGTGTGATCACAGCTTAGTGATGGCCATTAGACCCTATAAAATTAGGATTAGTCAGGATGACTTCCTACATTAGATCAATTTAAGTCATTGGCTGGTGGAAAAAAAAGTGTGATTCTCTCCTCTGTTAGCTGGGACATGGCTTTTTTTGTGACAGCATGGGGTGTGATTGTAGTTTTTCTCTTAAAGTCATTGATTCTGCCTTCTACCTGCATCCTGCTGCCTTCCAGCCTGAGCTTCTTAGTTTGCCCTGGGTAGAGATCATTTGAGGTTAATGCCAAATGGCAGGTAGGAGGTTTTGGGGGAGGCAATTCTGTGGCAGAAACTTCTGTAAATAATAGGAGCAGACTAAAACAGAGTTCTTGGGGAGCTGTTCTGGCAGCAGCCCAAAGACTTTCTGTGTTCATGATTAGAGGGAGGACAGCACTAACCTGGTGAGCCCCAGGGGTGGGTGGCTGAGCACAACGAAAGGAACCACGTCTATCTCAAATGCCTCCTAGGTCCTGGAGGAACCTCCTTCCCCCAAACCAAGCCTGTTTTTATTTTCCTGGAATGGACAGGATCCACAAACCTGAGCACCACCCCATAGGTGATCCTAAGAGAATCAGGTCCTTACTGAAGGTAATGCAGACATCATGAAATACCAGTACCCTGCACCCCAAACCTGATCCTACCCAGGTTTCCAGTTCCTGATGTCAGCCTCAATTTAATACATTTCATAGGCCATGGACAGCAGCACCGAATGTAACTCCAACTGACACTACTAGCAGTTGTTTGGAGGGGTGACAATAGTAGCCACTGCTGGAGAACTAGCTGGGATTTCCTACCCATGGCTGTTGCTTAATGCAAATTTAATGAAATAGTAATTGTTTACTGAGAAACAGTGTGAAGCCACACATGGGGACATGGGAACAGCGTTTGGAGACAGATATAGGTAGTGAAGGACACCCCCAAGGTGAACCCCAAAACTGGGGTCAGACCCCCTAACTCATCAGGAGCTCAGCAAGGGATCAGTTGTCCAAGCAGCCAGAGGCTGAGGGGAACCTAGGGGAGAGGCTGGGAAGGACACGGGCTGCACAGCATGCCCTGGGCACTGTTGGGCCCAGCTTTATTCAACACAGACTTACACCAATTTTATTAAATTCATCGCCAATTTTGTTAAATTCCATTCCCTGTGTCCTCAAGGAAAGTGACCCCTGTGTCTGACTCAGCACCAGCATGAGCACCCGCAGCACAGCACTCGGCAGGTTGCTCTGAGTCTTCGCTGCAGCCGGAGAGATCTCAGCATCCGGTTGACCCGAGCTGCCAGGGACCGGGGCTCACGGGTTAAGTCCAAGGACTTAACAGATACTACTGAAAGAGAGCGCTGAGATGAAGCCCCCTGTCTGCAGAGATCCCCCTGAATCCCCTCCTCGCCCCAGCCCATTCTTCCCACTCACTGCTGAGGTTATCGTCGTCGTTCAGGTCCCTCAGGTACCACCTGGCCATCACTGGGAACAGAGATCTGTCAGCTCCTGCTCCCCCTGGCCCAGCCCTGTCCCCCTCACAAGGGGCCCTCCAGGGACCACCAGTAGCCCAGGGGGTGGTACTGAGCAAGGAGGCCACCAAGCTGGCCTGTGTGGGCCAGGGGGGCAGAGGAAGGCCAAGGCTCTGCCCGGGTGGCCCCAGGGCTGGGGAGGTCAGGGGTCAGGCTGCCCAAAGAGGGACCCAGGGGCTGGGGCTCACGAGTGAACCGGCGGGCTGTCTCTCTCACGGTGGTCTGAGGGCTCTGCAGGTATGGCCAGCTCTGTTCCAGGTACTCTTCTACCATGTTAATGTTTCTCTCCAGCTGGAGAGAGGACAAAGGCATGAGGCTGGCATGTGCCCTCCTCAGCTGGCCAGACCAGTCTCCTCTTCCCGGCCATCCCATTCCCACCTAGGACATTCCCATCTTCCAGACAGAGCCCACAGGGAGACTCAGGCAGAGGAGGCTTGGCGGGCCCGAGACCCCTCTGTGCATCTGCCAGGACACAGAAAAGGGGGGGGTCTCCCTGGGGAGAGGGGAGGGCCCCAGAGAGGAGCCCTTGGGGCCAGCTCCAGGCTGGGATTGAATTTGGAGTTGTCCTCACCAAGCGCTCTGCGATATCCAACGGGTGCTTTGTTTCGATCGGCTGCTTGAGCTCTTCCCACCCCAGGATCTCAGCCACGGAAAGGAGGGCTTCCCTGGAGACCTGATGAGCGGCAAAGAATGGGAGATGGCCCTGTGGCTGGGGAAGGAGACCTGTCGTCCCCCTCCTCTTGGCCAGACTGCAGTCCCAGACACCCCAAGGCATCCCTATGGGCATTCTGCAGCTGGGGCTGCCTCAGGTCTAAGTGAGCAGAGCTCTAAGCCCTGGGCCCATCCTGCCCTTTGGAGCTGGGACATATCCTGGCCATGGGCTGCTTCTGCTGAAACCTGCTGGGCCGGGTAGGGCAGGTGTGGGTCAGCAGCCTTAGCCCACAACGCTCAGACCACCCCTGTGGGGTCACCACTGCCCAGCTTTGAGCCCCTCACCTGGGCCACGCTGTCGGATATCTCAGTCATGTGGAGGAGCAGCGGCATCACTCCCTTCTGTGCTTTTCGTTTCATCCTCCACACGTCCCAGCACACTGCAGCTTCCACCAGTTGTTTGAAGAGGAAGATGGAGTACTCTCGCACCTCGGTGCACTCCTGGGATGGAGGACAGGATATGCTGAGCAAGGACTCCAGCACAGAAGTCTCAGGTTTCCCAGAGGCAGAAGACATCCCTCAAGGGGTGGAGGAGAGGAGAAGGTGATGGCTGAGCATTCATCCACAGGCTCCAGCTCCTTACATCATTGAAGAGTGGCAGGAGCTGCTGCAAGAGCCGCACGGCCATTCTGCTGGCATCATTCCTCCTTACGTGATGCACCATGGTGTGCAGCACCCGCAGGGCCTTTAGCCTGATGACTTTGTCGGTGTGCTGCAGGAGCTCCACAATGTCCGGCAGCAGGAACCGAAGTCTTCTTGCCTGGATGAAGCACAGAGTTTCCTCTTGTGAAGCTGTCAAAGCCCACTGGGCAGCGACCAAGTATGAGAGAGCAGAGGAGGGGAGGGGAGTGGGGGAAGGAGAGCAAAAACTTCCTGTCCCTGGCTCAGTTACCCTACTTTTCTAACCAGGACAATGGGTTGGCAATCCTACAGTCCTGGAAAGCTCCCCGGGGCACCCAGCTGCCCTGTCCACAGCAGGGAGGGTGTGGGAAGCTGTCACCCAGCTCCTGATGCCCAGCCAAGGCCAGGCCACTGCTCTGGCCTGTGGGGCTCAACTCAACACCTTACTCACCATCTCAGGACTCTCCAAGGTGGTTCTGAGACCTGAGAGCGCCAGTGAGAGAAATTCCAGCTTTGGACACTTCTGACTTTCCCTGAGGAGTTCAGCGAGTTCAGTGTTGGTGGGGTTCAGCATCTGAAACAAAGGTGGTGGTGAGAGATGGGCAGAGATGTGGGGCTCCTGTTCCCTGTGGGCAGCTTGGGGTGAGGGCACTGGGGCCAGGTGCCCGTCTTGGGGGCAGCCCTGTCCCTGTACCCTCAGAGGGTTTTTGCAGGCTCCTCGTGGCCTCTGACCACCAGCAGCATCTGAGGAGCAACTGGAGAGCAAGAGCTGGCATGGAGGAGTGGGTGACAAGTGTCTCCTGTCCCCAAGGTGAGCCAGGACAGGTGACTTACCACCTTATGAACTCTGATGGCATACAAGACAGTGGGGCTGAAGAGCTCGCCGTCCTGCTCTTCCGGTGAGTGAACCCTTCCCTGCAGCTCCATCCAGAAGTTGGACGTGATGTTGAGCTGAGAATACATCTGGTCCCACACGGCCAGGGCGATGCTGCCAAGCACAGAGTGCTGTGTCAGCAGGGCTGCCTCAGCCATGGCACTGTGCCCAGGTGAGCATGGCATGCTGGAGTCTTGGGGTCCCTCTCCTCCCTGTCCCTTGGGCTGTTGGGGCTGGTACCTGTCATATGGTGCTGTGGGAGTCAACAAGGTGCACACTAGTTCCCTGGGGTATTTGTGAGCCAGCACTGCAAGCAAGATGTCCAGGCTCTCCACGTCAGATGCCAGGCTGGTGTGCTCCAGGCACTCATGGATGCCCCTCACAATGCTTGGCACCTGGAGGGGACATAGGTACGGGTGGTGCTGCAGCCATGTCCTCAGCTGCTCTTCCTAGCCCTCTCTTCTGCCTTCAGGTGAATTCAGGGGCACAAGACACCTGAGTTTGGGATGGAGGGAGGCAGGAGGGACAAGGCTGGGCAGGGCAATCCAGCCACAGGCCACTTACATCTATCAGCCAAAAGTCAGGGGATCTCATGGCCAACTGCAGGAAGTGTCTTGCTGCGTGATGGCCAGAGGTGCTGGAGTCCCGCATCGCCTCGATGGCCGCAAGCATGATGTATGTTCTCTCAGAAGGTGTGAGATAACATTCCAAGGCCTGTGGCAAGAAGGAAGGGAGTGAAGGCCTGTCACACCAAGGGCCCTGATGGTACTGCTTGGCTGGGCAGTGTGAGCAGCCCTGGCCAGAGGTGCCCAGCAGTGCTGGTGACAGTGCCTGCAGGAAAGCTGGCAGCAGTGCCCGCAGTTGCTGCACGGGGAAGGATGAGGAGCGTTCACAGGCATGGCATGCTGGCCTCCCAGAAAACCTGGTGGCCAGGAGGGCTGGAGCTGTTCTAGGACACTGGAGTGTCCCTTGTTTAGGGACAGCAGGAATCCTCTTGCCAGGGACAGCCCCACTGATTCAGGGTCCCTTTGCTCACACAAGGCCCCTGATGATGCCCCAGAGAAGAGTCCCAGCCAGCGGGGAGCTCATTACCTTGATCTGGGCCCTGATGTTGTTGCACCACTGCAAGAAGGTGACAGGTAGACGCAGGTGTTTTCTATAGTACTCTTCAGGGTATGACATCCTCCCTAAAGGGTGGGGGAAGCACAGGAGAGTAGATCAGCCAGAGTAGCTTTTGATTCCGGAACTGTCCAAAGATTTACTGCAAGGGGGCAGGACAGAAGCGAGCAAGGAGGTTTCGGGGGGGCATCAACAGTCACGGTGATCAAGGGCAGCTTTGGCTTGGGGGTCCCCAGCTCAGCGGGTTTCAGAGTCGGGAAATGAGTGGAGAGGGAGGGCAGCAGAGAACAGATCCTTGATATGAGGAGAGCACTTGGCTGCTGCATCAACTGAGAGCTGGGATGCTCTGGGGAAGCAGCTGGAGGGGCAAAGGCAGTCAGGAAGAGCAGCAGAGCTACTGGGAATGTGTGTGTGTGTGGAGGGATGAAGGCCGCCACAATAGCTCTTACTGTTTTTATCAAAGATGAATTGACAGAGGTAATAAAAAGCTCTTGAAGCTGAATGTTTTGTCTTTCCCTCGGAAAACTGGAAGCAGAGGAGACGACTGAGCAGCTGTCCCAGGACGGGGATCTGGTTTGTTCTGAAGTCATCAGGCCAGTGCTGGGTGAGGGAGGCAGAACAAGAGAAGGGCTGAGGGCAGGCATCTGGTGCCAGAGCCCTGAACCCAAGGTGTGCCCAGGGCTGGATCCAGGTGAGTGCAGCTGTGCAGGACCCTGCAGGTCTCCTGGAGCAGCCAGCTGGGCAGCAGCCCTGCAGGGAGAGCAGCAGGGAGAGGGGCACGGCCTGGCTGGAGGACTCCTGGGCCTTACCTTCTGTGTGGACAGTGCATAGCTCAGATTCCCAACCCTCTCCACAGCCCTCATCTGCACATCTGTGTTCTCAGAGTCGATCAGGTCCAGCAGCATCTGGGAAAAGAGAAGCTGCTGGTGAGCCCCGGGAGCAGACACCACTTCTAGCAGCAGCAGCGTGGCTCCACTCCTGGGCAAGACTTGGGCTGTCCCTCAAGGCTTCCTCTGACCTCCAACAAAGTCTTGGGGGGCTCCTCCCCTGGAGTCCCTCTCAGGCCAGGGACAAAGGCCCCAGAACAACCTTGTGGCCAGGCAGTTGCCACCCTCTGCAGCCACTGTGCTCGAGAAGAGCCTGGTGCCGGCCCCTTTTTCCCTAGGGGAGGTGGGCACACTTTACCTACACAGAACTGGGCTGGGGACCACCCATCCAGGAGTGGGCAAACCCTCCTCCCTAGGGTGAGGAACAGCCCTGTGACCCCCTCTCTTTGCACAGGCCAGACCTCCAAGATGTGCTGCAGCTCCTCAACGACTCTGGATGGAGGAGAGTTGAACACCATCGTCTCCAGCATGACATCCATGGCATCCAAGGTCTGTAAGGAAGACAGAGAGCAGTGGTGGTGATTCTGCTGTCCCTTCCACCCCAGGAGACCGATCAGAACTCTCAGTGCCAGGGGAGGATGTCCAAGTTTCCTGGGAGAGACCCAGGGACAGGCAGTCTGCTGCAGGCACAGCACCTGGTGGCACTGGATGTGGCTGGGCCCCAGGAAAGGGACAGAGGGACCCGGGTGGAAAAGCAAAGCGGAGACCCTGCCCTGCCTTGGTCATGGGGCAGCACGGGGTGGCCAGGGAGCAGCCCAGAGGGACTGGGGGCTCCTGCAGATTACCCAGCACTTACCGTTGAGTAGTATCTGTTTCTTTGCCTCATGCCCTTGTCTGAAGGAAGCCAGAAGACACTGGAGATACAGGCTTCGAGGAGGCTTCTCCTTTTGCCCTCTAGCACTGTGCCCACAGAGCTGCAGAGAGAGAGAGAGGCCAGTTGGATCCTAGTGCTGGGACCAGCACCGTGAGGCCACAGAGTGCTGGGTCCCTGGGAGGGATGGGCAGGTGGACATGGAGGTCTGGGGCAGAAGTGGCCAGAAGGGATTAGCAAGTACCTCAAAACAGTGATGGCCCGCATGGCAAGCTCCCTCACAGGTGAGCGCAGGTGCTTCTTGGGCTCCTCTTCCAGCAGCATCTGCAGATCACGACCAGGATGAGACTTTGCAGCTGCCAGCACCCAGTGCTGCCAGCACCCAGTGCCACCAGCCCCTTGCCCTGCCCAAATGCTGCCCTTGCAGGGTGCTGGTGCTGGGGGTACTTGCCCCCTTCCCCAGAGTGCCAGGTGTCCCCTCACCTTGATCTTCTCTACCAGATTGATATTTTGGAAGAAGATTTCCAGGCCCTCTAACAAGCCAGTGTCCAAGGCACTGCTGCACACATAGATGATGCTCTCCAGGAACATCCTTTTGTCATCCTCGCCCTGACAGCCCGGGGACAGAGAGACAACTGAGGAGTGTGAGAGGGGAACCTGCAGCCAGAGGCCTCCACAGGGAGTCCTGGGGTGCAGTGCCTTGTGGGAACAGCAGGTCTGCCCAGCCGGCACACCTGGACAGGTACAGCAGCTGTTGAACTGGCCGCAGTTACCTGGTAGGGGCTCCTGGCAAAGTCCTGGAGAAAGTCTAGGGCTTTCTTCTTCACTCTGTACAATGGCAGCCAGCTGGCACCTAAAGGAGGGGAGAGCAGGGAGAGCTACAGAGGATCTGGTGACAGGAGAGAGCAGAGGGAAGGATATCTATCTGCCACCCAGCCCTGTGCTTCCTCCCCTGGCCCAGCTGGAGGGTGCCCCTCAGGTCCCCCAGTGCCAGCGTGCCGGGGAAGTGGGATCCTGGTATCACGCAGGGTGCCCAGCCCTGCCCGGCCCAGCAGGGCCCCTCACACACCCAGCTGCAGGGGCTGCTCTGCAGTCACATCATGGGGCTCTGTTGGAGAGCTGCTCTCCTGGGGAGCCCCATCCTCCTCCTGGGCCACCCTGGAGGGGCTGGGGGGTGTCTCTGCCATCCTGTGGGTGGGGACTGGGGAAGCTTCTACAAATGCCTAATTATTGTGGGGCAAGATATGGGGTGGGCTGTGCATGGCGGCTCTTGCCAGCTCAGTTTTCCCATCTTGTTCTGTCACTGTTCTGCTGGACACTGTGGGCCACCACTGCCACCACTGCAATGGCAGTGTCACAAAGGGCCCCCTGCCACCTGCCCCTAACAACAGGGCTTACTCAGGGACTGTTGACACAGAACCTGCCCCTAGCAATGGGGGCCAGTGACCCACCACTGTCCAGGCAGGGAGGGGCGGGGTGTCCCTGGGGGGCATGAGACTGGCTCAGCCCTGGGCACCTGGGTGCTCTTGGGCTGCCTCCAGGTACCCTTTGCCTCCTGTCCCTTCAAAATATTCCTGGTACCCTCTATCGTGTCCCAGATCCCTGTCTTCAGATACCCTGGTGTGCCCTTAGGACATCCCTTTCTCTGCACTTCAGAGCCCTGCCTTTGCCCCTCAATGACATTATACATGTCAGGCTCATTCAATCCTAACAGAAATTGTTGGTTTTGCCACCTCAGCTCTTCCTCACACCAACCAGAAGAGCTCATGCAGAAAAGGGGACAAAGAGAAGGAGAATTCTGCTGAGTTTGCCCTTTCCGAATTTGGTAGCTCCCAGCAATGGAGATTCCCCTCTCTTTGGTTTTTGGCTTGTTCTGGTCTGGGACCATGATGGTTCTTACAACCACAGCCTCTTCCCCACTCCGTGCATCACATCCAGCACTGCTCTGCTCTGGACCTTGCCCCAAAACCCAGTGTCCTGTGTGGGACTTGAGCTGCCCCAGGGGTGGCTGTGTTGGCTCCACTGGGGCGGAGGAGCCCTGGGCTGGTGTGGCAGGGCTGAGTTCCAGCCTCTGGGTGGGGCTTGGGCTGAAAAGGCAGAGGATGGCACTCAGCTTTTGACCAATAAATTGCTCTTGTGAAACAACACATTTCTAGAAGAAAGGGCAAAATCATCCTCCTCTGCCGCTTCCACCCAGTGGGGTGAAACATGCTGCAAAGAGACCACTCTAATAAGTAAAACTCATACAAATCCTTTAGAGCTTGAGACATTTATGTCCTTATCAGAGTCCAGACTCAGCAGCTTGGGTCTATTTTAACACAAAACAGAGAATTTTGCCTAAAAGCTACTGCTGTTTCTTGGAGAGGAAAGAAATTTTGCATCTTGACAGTCCTGGGGCTGGGCTAACAGTTATACCAGAGATTTCTCCTCCCCAAGTCCTTTTAAACTCATGAGTCTCTGTTTATACAGTGCTTAGCCCAAAGGGGGCTCATTCTGTGTTGGCCCTTTGGCACTGCAGCAATAAACAGGATTAATAACTGAAGTCAGCAGGGCTTGGTACCTGTTAGAATTTCCTATGGACTACGCAGAAGGTGCTGTTCCTACAAGCATCCTGGGAGTGAATTATTTATGGGCAGCATAAGGCTTGCAGTGCTTGCCAGTTTATTAGATTCATAACTAGCTGTGCTAGGTCCATTGAGTGTGTCTGTGCATGTATGAGCATGTACTTGTTCAGTTGTTTCTCTCCAATCTCCTACTAGTTAGGGAAGATCTGCTTAAACACATTTCCAATATAAACACATCACTTTGTGACCTAGATGTGAGAAAATCCTGGAGAGGCAAAGGATTGTTACTAAGGAAAAAAAAAGAGCTTGTTAGGATACCTCAACTAAAGATGCAAATTTTCATTCCAGCACAGGCTAAAAAACAAAACCCCAAGATTATTTGGAGAGTGAGAAAGTTTAGTTTACTCCCCAGTTTCACAGCTTCTAAGAGGCCTACTTGTGTGGGTTTTATTTGGAAACAAGTGGACGTCTAACTTCTTTCATGGTATATGCTTATTTTTGATACCCAAGGACCGGCAGTTCACTGTATGGGTGTTGCAAAGGATTTTAAACACAATTCGCTCTTCAAACCCATGGATATGAGCACTTGTCTTCCAGCTAATGTCTGCTATTCCAGTTCCAACAGATCTCAGAATAGGCATTATTAAAGGCTCATTTTTTCCTGCGCTCTGTGTTGTATCTGTGCTGTGATGTTGCCAATAGAGTCATCGCTGCATATGAAGGCGCTGGCCTGGGGCCATGGAGCTCTACAACACCTCTCTCTGAAGCAGCACAGGTGACTGTGTTGCTAACACCAGAGGTTCTGCTCTGAGGCAGGAAAGAGGTGACAGGAGCAAAGACCTTTATTCATGCAAATGATCCAGGAAAGGGAGCAAAACTTCCCATGGCTGGAGCAGAGCTGGCTGAAAGCAGAATCTTTTGCAAAGTTTTCTATGAGCCCTTGTCAACTCTGGCTGCTGTAGAGAGAACCTGTTTGAGCTGTTCAATAAATTGGATTATTTAAATAATGTATGGACTGTCATTCTGGATACATGAAAACAGCTGTGTGAAGCACTGACTTGTTCAGCCTGCAACAGGTTTCTTTCCTTTTCTTTAAAAAGTTCTCTTCACTGGGTATCAAAATCTCTCAAATAACTTGGATCCTGCTTTGGAGGGCTTCTGGTTAGACCTGAGCAGACTCCTCTCCTCTCCTCTCCTCTCCTCTCCTCTCCTCTCCTCTCCT